CTCTCTCTCTCTCTCTCTCTCTCTCTCTCTCTCTCTCTCTCTCTCTCTCTCTCTCTCTATCTATCTCTCACACACACACACACACACATGAGTACCTCCACCATGATTTCGCCTGTCCCCCGCCGATCGAAGCGCCTCTCCAGATCCCCCAGCAGGTTTGATTCCAATGGGGCGCCGCACGTCACCATCGCTCGACGGATCGTCTCCCGGTCGACGTGCCTGCTCCCTCTCCTCGCTCCCCGAGCATCGGCTACGGCCTGTAAGCCCCGACGCAACTTGTCCCGAAGTCCGGGGCCGATCGTATTGCCCGTCCCGCCCCCCGACGCCACATCGTCGTCCCTCGAAACCATGAGGCGTCGAAGGCTTGCACGTAGAAGGGCTATGTTTTTTGAACGGGAGGGGTCGCTGTCGTTGCTTCCGTCACGAAAAGTCACTCCTTTGCGCGTGCTGTTGCTTGCGCCGTAGCTGGTGTTTACGGCGGGTGACGAATCTCTCGGTGATGCGTGATACCTTCCCACCCCGGTGACGGCGGCACTGTCGTCATTGGAGAAGTGGCCGCGCCCCCGGTGACCACCACGCCCCTTCGACCGGCTGCTGTGGTCATCACCAGCAGGATCGTCGTTGTTCCCGGACAGCAGGCAGAACGAAACGACCCTCTCGATGCTTGCGGTGCCGTCCTGCTCATATTTTCCGCGTTCGTTCATGCGGTGGTCGGTGTGCAGGACTAGAGGCACGCGTGATGATGAAGGCGATAGCCCGTGTGTGTTGAGCTCTGTTTGGAACGCCCGAAAAGGCTTACATCTGACCACGCTAAAATCACTTGCCCGCAGAGGCTCCCCGGACAAGGTCATCGCTCCATATTCTTCGCCCCGGTTCAACAGAGTGCAGGGAATTTCAAGCGCACATGTCCTATTGAGACCTATATTTGCCTCTTACGCACGCGGGCGCGTAATACCAGTTTTGGGATTTTCCAATACCAGTTTCGGGATTTTCCCTCACACCAACAACAAGTAAAAGGTTAGATCCAATGCTATGCCGACAACGACGAAACTCACCATTCGAAATGAGTTGTTTCTGCCACAAAACGCCTGCCCAACGGCAGAACATACCAACGTTCGTATTTTCACCTCGTGAGCGTCGAAACGGTGCATCAGGCGACCCAAGTCGGCGCCGGCGAGGTCCACGCCGAAGGCTTCAAGAAAGTTCCGTAGGGACTTTTCCGAAATCACCCCGGAACCAGAAGGGTCCCTGCGATCGAGCTCTTCTCGAATTCGAGACTCGGTCACCCTATTCAACCTGTATAGGTCGACAGAGAAAGGGCAAGGGTCGAGCTGCGTGGTTTTCGCTCCCTGTTCTTCATGTAGTTTTTTCCCTCTGCATCTCTTAGGCGGGGTATCGTTCCTGCATCGACTGGCACCTTTTCTAACCTTGAACATTTGAGATAATGGTATTTTTTCACGAGAGGCCTCATGCTGAGACGTTACTGCGGAAGGTGTTCGACCATGCCTTCCCATAGGGAAGTAGCTCCCGCGGCTCAGTCCACTTTCTATACCGCGAGAATCAAACGTCGCGACGACAGAAAAAAGCGGCTTGCTCGTTGGACGCTTGCTATCGACAATACACCCCAGCGCTTAGTACTGTTTTTGACGTCTCAAGCGAATCTATCGGGACGTTGTTGCTGGAGGCTACAGGCCCGCCGTCGAGCGCCGACAGCGTAAACAACTCACCGGTCAAGTACTTTGTCGCGTACGTCATGGTGGTTGGGGTCTCGAGCGAACACGACGAGATCCGGATAGACCAAGAAGCCTTGGGTATCAAGATCTGCGCCCACATTGTGCACGGGACGTCCACAGCATTTGAGTGTGTCAGAACACGGAAACAACCGTAGTTGTCTTTGTTTCATTGCGTAAGTAGCACAACTGGGCGAATTTAGGGCCCTCAAGCAACGTGGTCCTCGCGGGACCAAAGCCGCGCTCACACGCGTGCGCTCCCGTAAATCCAGTCCCAATGGAGCGAGCGCTATGAGCAGTCACCGGGGGTTTTGCGCAGCGCTCGTGACTCAGACACTCCATGCGTGTCGTCGTTTCGGCGTGAGGTTTGGTGCCTTCACTCCCCTACCGCTTGGGCAGGCTGTTCGATGCTCTGGCGCGTCTTGTGAACGATCATCCTCCTACGATTCAGCAGCAAGCGGGGCCAACCTCACACATGACCGAAGTCGGTTTGGTCTTAAGGCTCTGGCCATCGGTTCAGCGCTCTGAATCTGTGGTCACGCACAAGGTACTTTCCCGGACTCGTGTGCCCCTAGGTAACGCCAGCAATATATATATATATATATATATATTTATTGCTTCTCCATCTTCAAGGGGGGGCATCCGGGTTCGTTTGCTGCACTCGAGACCAGCATCGCTGTACTCTCTTGAGATGGGAACCATGCTCTATACGCCTCTCTCTTACCCATAGTTCTGAACAACCCTCGTTCTTGCCGTGTCGTCAGCTCCAATCCCAAGCGGCGTAAACCATCAGACAGGTCGGTCTCCGATACTTTTCCCTTGCGACGGGCGTCGAAGTGACGGAACGCCTGCCGTATCGGAACAATAAACGTCCCCCGAGGTTGAGAGAAGCGGAGCTTTGGGAGATACGCCCGAGTGTAGGAGGAGTGGTCGAAAGAATGTGAGGAATCAGCCGTCTTACACTACATGTCCAGCGGCCGTTAGAGTATCCCGACTTGTCCGTGATTTGTAGTCCCACTGTCAGTCATTCACTACATGAGTAACCTTCGTTTGTGAACTACAAACCGACTCTAGCTTTTCCCCACATCACCAAGCTCTTCACTCTTCGCAGCTAAATCAAGTGGTTTGGTTACGGTATGTCGTTGATCTGCGATAAACTTCATTATTGCACAACGGACATTACGAGGATCGATATTTTCCGTTAAACCAACGCTTTCATCCGCAACCCACCTTTTTGAGGGTCCCGGGAATCCAAATGTCAAAGCGTCGGCGGATCATCTGCCGGAGGCGTTCTTCCGCAGCCCACGTCTGCAATGGCGATAAAAATACGGAAAGGAGGGGCAGTCTCCTTGTCGTTGTTGCCGAACGGAAAAATCACGTGGAGTGACTCGGGAATCACTCACACGGCTCTTCATCTTCATCTATCGATCTCGCATTTATTAGCCGCTCGTTGGACGCAACGGCCTCCAGAATGAGTTCGGGCAGGCGATGAGTCATCACTTCAAGCATCCGCATTGGGCCGTTTGAGCGCATATTCTTCGAAAACTCACAGCGATGCGGGGTCTCAGCTCCCGAACCTTCTTGGGCTCACCTCGTCGTCCCCGCCTCTCGAGTCGCCTCCCGGTGCCCCCCAGTGCAGCAGCTCCAAGTATCGCACCCCTGCCGCCGTGTTCCCCGCAGCCCTCGCTCGCCCAGCGTCGAACGAGTCGACAAGGCCGCCGTCATTGGAAGAGGAGGACGAGGAGCTGACCGCAAATCGTTTCTCGAGGTCGTCCAGATCTCCCTCGGAAAGGTCGGCCTTGATTCTCTTCATGACGGTGCGGAAGCTGTCGGGTGTGCCGGACGAAAGGTGTGGAAGTCCGGTGGGCAGACGGAGTCGAGAGCACGGCGGATTCAGGCATGCCAGGGGGTCTGGTCTGATTGGTGCTTGCGAATGCTGTCAGTGCTCAAGCTCTTAATGAGATAGGCACCAAATACCTGTCACCGTCACGTGGGACATGACTGGCACACATTCATCTCCATGCCCTACAATACTTCAACCGGTGTGCGTGTTTCCTGAATACCAAAGCAGCATCGCAGCATCACGTGTATGTACGGCGTCTTATGATTCTCCTCACCTCTGCCGTGACACCACGCCCTCCTTCATTCCCGTTCCTCCCGCCAACGCTGACCGCCCTTCTTCCTCGAGCTCCATCTCGCGTCGGTAGTCAATCCCGCGGTCGATCGCCCGGCTGAGGGAGGCCTGCAACCGTCCCCTTCCACTCGTCCCACCACCGTCGAAGGCCTTCCTACCGCGAGGTGAAGGTGATCGGCGTACGTGGTCTCCCTCGCCCGCCTCGATCTCTCTAAGGAAATTTTCGTACCGGATGTTCCCGTCTCTGATAGCAAGTCACAGGACACGGCGCGAAACATGCAATCACGTTTTGTGTTGCCATGTCACGCAGCAGTCAATAGAGCGTCAATTCGCGATATTGGCAAATCGTGCGTTGGAACTGTCAAATCGTCCGTTTTAGGAACGGGCGGGCAGTCAGGCGTGTCATAAGGTTAGCAGACGTTTGTGCATGCGGTTGGATACATTGTCAGTGATGCTCGGAATGACACGAACACCGTTTGATATAAAACTGACACTCTCATTTCTCTCGCAGTCCACCCCTACCTCTGGCGGTTTCTTTATCCATTGTTCTTCTGCATTTTTTCTGTCTCTCTGTTTCTGTCTGTGTTTCTGTCTCTCTTTCCGTCTGTCTCTGCCTCTCTCTCTTTCCCTTTTTCCTCTCTCTCCTTACCCGTGAGGGTCGAAACGGTCCAAGATTTCGGCCGCTTCCTCGTCCCCCAGACGGTCGAATCCCAGCTCTCGCAGCGCGCGGCGGAAATCCCGGCGAGAGACGCGGCCACTCCCGTCGCGGTCGAAGGACTCAAAAGCCCTTAGCGTCGCCGGTTTTCCTTCGCCGCCGCCCCTGCCGCGATCGCCTGCTGCTGACGCCGTTGTTGTGCGACGCACGAGCCTTCTCAGCTCGGCCCGGATGCTCCGAAGAATGTCCCCCGGCCGGCCTGTGCCAGCGAAATGGGCATGTTCTGTTTTTTCAGCATGGGACACAGGTACACGTCGCATAAAAACACTAGTACACCCCGGCAGGGTTGATCGGTGTCAAACGAAAGCAAAAAAGTCGATCATTGGGGGCTGCTTCAAGCTTCGGAACGCTGTTTGGCGACGCAAACGACTTCATGGTGAGAGCCATGTGGAACAAAGTGGTTCAAAAAATATCGGAACGTGGGGTCGGAGTAATGGTTGCCCAGATCTATTAATGGCTGCTTCCTACAACCGCCCCATTAGGAAGGAAGAGACAACAGCACACACACGCGTGTGCCGCCCTCGCCCCGTCATGCTTCTTCCGTTCCCCACTCCCTCGCTCGTCTCCTTACCTGAGCCCATATTCCCCCCGTGTTCTCCGGCGGCGATGTTTTGCAGCAGGCGCGGGTACAAGAAGAACGACTTGGACTGGGGATCGGTTCCCGTCGTGAATCTACGCATCAGACCCGCGACATCTGTTGCCGTAACGGGCAGGCCTAGGCTCGCCAGTACCTGAGAAAAAGAAGCAGATCGAAACTGAATGTTGGGAACTTTTCCGGGGCGAAGTGCCATCGCAGTGGCCACGACGACAAACCGCAAGGTTTCTTGGTCCATAATTTCTTGACCTGGCCCTTGATCTCGCCCTGCATGCAGAAAGGACGTGTACGTTTCTCTCTATCTCGCTCGTCTTTCACGCCCACCTCCACGAGCTCCTGTTCTTGCACCCCCCCCCGCCTTCCCCCTGGGTCCATTCTCTCGAACTCTTCCCACGCCCTCGCGACGCCGTCCTCGCCCATCCTCTGCAGGGCGGTGCGAACCTTCAGCTCCGCCTCTTCCTCTTCATCGCTCACCCCTCCCCTCCTGCTCGCGCTCCTGCCTCCTTCCAGCGCGGAAAGTGCCGCTTCTCCTGGGTGACGCTGGAGACGGGACGCGGATTCTCCGGTGCCGCGACGGTCTCCCCCTACTCCGGAGGCGGCGAGGCCGTCCGGCCCCGGCGTGGCCCAGGAGAGGAACGTCGGGTACGATACGTCGCTGCCGTCTCCGAAGACTCCCGCCAAGAACGCCGCCTGTTTATGTCGCGAATTTGTTCTGCTGAGCTACTGCAGCACGTTAGGTCGAACAACAACGTCGTTGCATTGTACGCGCCGGCCCATTCCGTCCAAGATGACCCTGTTGTTGTTACTGCGAATACACCAAAGTTGTTGCTCGCACTTGTTTTGCAGAGGTGCTCGAGTTCGAATAAAATCCTCGATAGAGCCAATTGCGAACGCTCCTCTCGACAATGATGCCTGTCGTTGGTGAAGAATTTCAGGAGGCACGACTTCTTGTACTCACCCGGGGGTGCAAATTGCTCCGTATTTCACTCTTCAGTTGATTACACTAGACACGAAGAAAATGATTCAGAGCGTTTCGGATCGGCACGTGGGGCTATTGCACACATTTCGAGAGCTGGGACACTGAGACAAAGGCGACACTTTCAACGGTAGCAAGGAGTGGAACCCACGTACAAGACAGCGAGAGGTACCTGCGCACGGGTGAACGGGAAGCCACACCGGGCGGTGGACCGGACGAACGCCGCTGTCCCCACACGTCCCGTCCGCCGCCAGTCGTAGCGGAGGTACGGCCGGTCGAACGCCTCGAAGTCGCTATCCATTCGCTGCCGAGAGGATGAGGCATACAACAGCGAAGACCGGCGAGGCACGACGCTTATTACGGGCTCTACGGAATAGAATGGTAAGAAATACATCAGGTCGGTTATTTCTTCTGCGCGGGATAGATCTTGTGCGGGGTATGGAGGCATCGGGCAGAGAGGCCAGCATTGTTTCTGGGAAAAAACACAAAATCACCGTAAAAAAATCACAGCAACAGCAACAACAGCAGGTAGTGATCAAACGATTCGGATGGGCACCTGCGCAGCCTCCACAATGGTCGCTTGCGCCCTGCGGAGCAGCTTTCCCACCCCTCTCTCTTCGTCTCGGGAAGCAACCGTCACCGCTCCGATAGCTGTATCAACAACACCGTAGTCGTAGTCCGCGGGCCCCTCGACGAAACCCACCAGATCGGTGCAAACTATCCCCGCGTTGCCCCCCGAGAGGTCTAGTCGGTTGTACAGAGCGCTCTTCTCGTCGTCGGTGCACCTGTGGGTTGGGGTCGCGCCAAAACGGCGAAAATTGTGGCACCCGGAATTCAACATTTCACGCTGTACACAGCGCGGACAAGGTCGGGAATGCTGCCGCGTTTCCCGTTGTTGCCGGCAACAATGATGCAATGTTTGCCATTTTTTTTTCTCATGATGTACGACTTTACGGGGATCAACCTGGCAATCGACTCATCGGAATCGCCACGCACGTCAACGAAGGCCTGGTCAACAGCGAAAAGTTCAGCAGAAAAAAAAAAAAAACGCCAGAGAAATCTTCAGTCAACATCCAAGTTGTCAACAGCCACGACACACACCTAACAGGCTTGGGGGCACGCCAGCTACGACACTATCACAGCGGTGCTTATGCCCCCACAATCGTCTGGACACGCACTTACTTGAAGCCAAGCTCCCGGAGAGCGCTTTCAAGTTGAGGTTGCCGGAGCACACGACGACCACCACCTCCGCCATCATCAACGGCAAACGCTTCTAGAGTAGCCCGCAAATCCAAACCCTCTCCGTTCCTGACGGCGAGGAGGTGGCTGCGGAGGCGAGACACGACAGACGCGGCTCTGCGGGCGGCGGGCTGTTCCTTGGCGAAGGCCACAAGAGAGGCGTAGTCTACCATGTCTTCGGCTTCCTCGAACATGGTGGCGAGTTGTCGTAGCTGTGCGTCCGGGCACGTAGTTTGTTTAGGGAGGGGAGAACGGGAAGGGAGCGGTGAAAACGGGGCTCGTTTGGGGAGTGGGAGTGGGGAATCAGCGGTTAAGCGATTCGTTTGGGGAGGGGGAAGTGGCAAGGAGAGAGTACAGGATAAGCTCAAGACTATCGGGTTCACTTCGGCGCTGGCTGACGTGTTGAAAAGCAACTCATTTATGTCCACACCTGCTTCGGAGGCGTTCCTGCAATGCCGAGCTCTCTCAAGCCATCGAACAGGTCCACCCTACACACGAAACCCGTCCCCAGGGGGTCCCGTCGCGCGAACACGTCGAGAGCGCCCGGGTGAAGCGGCTTTCGCCCCAGGAGAGCCACGGCGGGAGAAACTTCGGGGTGGCGCCGCTCCTCGCAGAAGATTGTGAACGCTCTGTGTTGCGACGAGTGATATTGCGCGCGGCAGAATAGATCAAATGAGCGCTGTTGATTGTTCGTCTTTGATGTGGTTGCAGCCGTGTTGGTTGGACTTGTTCGCGGCATCAGGCAATGTTTCAAGAAGCACAGAGTTGAAGATTAGTTTCAACCATGCCTTGGAGCCGGAACACGTCTTCCACACCAACAGTATCGGAAACGTCGCTGAAGCAACACTTCCTCCTAGGAAGACGAGACGTTGCATACCCATACCTTGGTAGCGTGCCGACAAAGACAGACTGTCGCATTACACGGCCACTTCTTGTCGCGACAAAAGAAAATACAGCAACAAGCTAACAAGTCCACGCCGTCCTCCGGGTCGGATGGTTGCCACGGGTGCCGGAATTGAACACCGACGAGTTGCGATATGCGTATTCCGTGCAAACAGACCACAGACACAAAATACACTTCTACAGCGAGAAACTGGCGCGCGAGAACTGCGACAAACTTGCTTTATTCGCGTAAGTAAGGTTCCGTTCTTCAAGTGAGCGGGAGGGAAAGCCAATGTGTGCCAACAAGGGAGTTAAGCTTTTCTCGGCGTCTGACATTCTGATCATCTCGTTTAGACTTACCCCCCGCTCCCTCTGCCTCCCCCCCGATGTTGGCCACCGGGGTTGGGATTTCGTCACTTGGCAGCGATGTTGCAAAACAAGCCGATCACTTCGTGAGCTCGACAACCAGGTTACCGCTATTGTTTTTTTTTTCTTGCGGTAACCATGAATGGTGGTCGAGTAGATTATGTTGTGCGGCGTTGAGATCCCTCACTCTACGCAACGGGGAAAATCGCACCACGTTGTTCGAACTTGGTCAAGCACTCTCGAGGCAGTTACAAAGTGCTTACAACTGTCTCTGGAAGTGAAAGCACCAGAAAATGTATTAAGTCCTTATTATTGCGCACCCTTCATGCGACTCGCCGAACACGTCACGGCGCTTTGCGCTTGGTGATGTCAGAGCCTGGTCCGGTGAGAACCCGGGGGTGCCCTGTCTCGGCTTTGTAGGATGCGGTGTCAATGGTCTAGTGACTTCGGCATGCACGATTATGAGTACACCCGCCCC